CCCCGGTGGTGGCTGGTGGTACTACTGTGTGGTGCAGATCGGGTGCGGGTGCTGCTGGAGGGCAGCGCGTGCGTGGCGACGATGAGCAACCAGCACGCGTTCGTGCTCCACAGTCAAATGGGAGCGTGGATGCGCGTCGCCGACAACTCCTTTTCGCGCTCGGCCTTCCACTCCCAGTTCCACCTCCCCGCCTCGGTAGGCTCACACCCTGATGAGCAGCAAGAGAGATTGGTGGCGGCAACTCGTGCCTAACCGTCGTGGTGTGTGCTCGTGTGTGTGCTCGTGGTGTGCTCGTGTGTGCTCGCGCCGTTGTCGTGCGGACACGAAGGAGGGCAAGGCGAGCAGCGGAGAAAGCCTCGCAGAACTTCAATCGCGCACGCAAACGGCTGCGGAGGGGGTCGATCTCAGCGCCCTGCTGGAGACGAGCCTCGCACAGCAAAAAGCCGAGACCCTCGCCCACCTCGAACACCAGATTGCCGCTGCTCTCCTCCTGCAGTCGCGCCACGAAGTGCGTATCCTCTTCACTTCTCTCCGTGCGGATGCGGTGGTGCGGGCTAGTGGTTCTCACACCTCGTGTCGTCGGGTGGTGCGGCGATGCAGTATCGGTATTGGGTGCACACCTATGCGGGCTACCTCGCCACGGAGGCACTACTCACCCGGCTCGAGGAACTCTGCGCCTCTCTCCTTGGCCCTCCCTCACGGTACGGCCCCTCCTCTTCTCCGCCCCCCCCCTCGCGTGGGCCGGGCCACCACCAGCCACCACCGCCACCGGCAGGCAGGCCAGCAAGCACCGGGGGGGGGGTGCTGGCTTGATACCGACGTCGTATTCACCACACCACACGCGCACCGCGGTGTGCGTGCTCCGTCGCAGGTCGTCCACCGAGGTGGGTCCGTGCAGCCCCTCCGGAGAGGCCATCTGGGAGCCGACGGTGCTGGTGCGTTCCCCCACCCCCCCCCGCCCCACCCACCAATACACCCCTCCCGCTCTACCCCACCCAGTGTGGCTATGGCGGTGGTGGTGGTGGTCCCGCCCGCCCGCCCGCCCGATCCCTCGTGTGTCATTCAGTCATTCATCCGTGTCCGTCCCTGGCACACCCCTCGTATCCCGTGCGTTGTGCGTGCCTCCTCCACTGCAGGGCCTGAACAAGCGGCAGCTGCTGCGGGAGGTGCTGCCCATCGTGGCGCAGAACCGCGCGTGCCAGCGGCTCACGGTGCAGTACCAGGAGTACCTGCGGATCATCTCCCAACGCGAAGCCACCACCACCACGACCACGGGCAGCGCCTCGGCTGCCAGCCGTACCGACGAACGAATGCCCCCCTCTCCATCCCCCGCAGCCGCCGCAGCCGCCGCAGCCGCCACCACCAGCAGCAGCAGCACCACCATGATGGACGTCGACCTTCCGCCCCTCACGCCCCCGCGGCCGACCGCCGCCGCCGCCGCCACCACCTCGTCATCAGCTGACGAGGGAGAGGCCGACGCATCTGCGCCGTAGCAGTGCTCCCCTCCCCTCCCCTCTACCTACACACAGCCCAACCAACGACAGCTGTATCGTCGGGATATCGTCGTCCCACCGCCCCTGCCAAAAACCGGCCTAAAACAGAAGGCGAAAAAATACAAAAAAACAACATGTTTGCATCTTTCTTCTGCACAGCAGCCATGGATGCCATAGGATCGTTTGTAGCCAAGAAGGCCTTCGAGAGCAAGGTCGACTCCCTCTCCAAGAACTTCACCAGCAGCCTGGGCCTCGGGGGCGACGAAGAGGGCGGTGGCGGCAGCGGCAGCAGCGCGGGCGAGGTGGAGAAGAGGACACGACAAAGCCGCGAGGCACGAGAGGCCGAGGAGAGGCAGCTGCGGGAGAGGGAAGAGGCACACAAGAAGCGCAAGGAGAACAACCTCGCCAAGGCCAACGCCCTGCGCGAAAAGTACGGCCTGCCCACCGACGCGCCACAAAGCAGCAGCAGAAGGGATGCCGCCTCCACCACCCCCTACAAGGGCTCGTCGAGCCCCAACGGCTTCTCCAGTATGTCGCAGTGCTGCCTCCTCTCCTGAGCACCACACTTTTTTATTATTTTTAAATAACACGAGCTGTGTGAATATTATGAATTCCAACCTTGGGCAGCCGTTGCTTTTGGCGCGCAATCCACATGTACGTTGAGAGTTGGGTGTGTTGTCGCGGTGGGTTCAGAATTTCACTTGGCATCGATCGATCACACGACGACCTACAGAGCTGTTTGTTGGCCTCACCACCAACCATCACCACCTCCCCCCTATTTTCCCCACCTACAGAGAAAAGAACAATCTAACCATAATCGCAATGAGCACTAACGAAGCTAGAATGCTGCAGTCTCCCGTGCGTGTGCACACCCCACCGCAGCAGCGCCGCGCCAGCGCTGGAGGGGCGGGTGGAGGCACCACCACCAAGAGCAGCAGCAGCAACAGCGGCAGCTCGTCCCCGGTCGCGTCGCCGAGGGCCGGGCGGCGCAAGGGGTCGGGCCTGTGCGTCGGGGATCGCTTCATCCCGGCCCGCAACAGCGCTCCGCTCGACCTCGACCTCTCCCACTTCAAGCTGCTTCGCCGCGAGGGGGCCCCGGCCACCACTGGGAGCGGCGGCCGGAAGGAGAACACGCTACCGTCCCCGTCCGCCCACCACAACGCCGCCACCCTTCCCTCCTCCTCCACCACCGCCACGGCTGCTGGTGCTGCTGACACGACGCCGGCCAAGGAGGAGTACAGGAGCCTGCTCGAGCGGACCCTGCTGGGCAGCGAGGGCCGCCTGGCCACCCGCGTCCTCTCCTTCTCCGCCGCCTCATCCGCCTCCGCCTCCCCCGCAAGCGACCTCCACCTTGGCGGCTCTGCTGCTGCTGGTGGTAACGCGCCGCCCACCGCGGCAGGCCCCAACTCGGCCACCGGCGCCGCGTCTCCGCTCCGGGGCGCCGCCTCGCCGCACCGCATCCTTCACGTGGAGCGGGAGCGGGCTGCTGCCTCGTCGGCCGCCGTCGCCTCTTCGCCCTCGTCCCCGCTCGCTCGCCGGCGCGCACCTCGCCGCCTGCCCTCCTCGGCTGAGCGCGTGCTCGATGCGCCGGACCTCGTCGACGACTACTACCTGGTACCTACCTACCTACCTACCTACGGCTCCAGCCCCTCCCTCATTCTCTCTCTCTCTCTCTCTCTCTCTCGCATGCCCACTCGTGCCCCATCTCACCAAATTTGCATTGCCACGTGTGTGTGTGGTGTGATGTCATATGGATGACGCGATATCAATGTATCTCAGAACCTGGTGGACTGGAGCGGGCAGAACGTGGTGGCGGTGGCGCTCGGGCCGAGCGTGTACCTGTGGAACTCGGGGTCGGGGGCCATCACGCAGCTGGTGTCGCTGGGCGAGGACGAGGGCCTGGTGACGTCGGTCAGCTTCAGCGCGGGCGGAGGGGACCTCGTGGCGGTGGGCACGCAGGCCGGCGAGGTGCAGCTTTGGGACGTGGGCGCGGCGAGGCGCGTGCGGCGGATCCTGGGCCACTCGGGGCGGGTGGGGGCTTCGTCGTGGAATCCGACGCACGCGGGCCTGCTCTCCACGGGCTCGCGCGACGCTCTCGTCCTCACGCACGACTCGCGCGCCGCCCGGCCCGTCATCGCCACGCACGACATGCACTCCCAGGAGGTGTGCGGCGTGCGCTGGTCGCCCGACGGCACGCAGCTGGCCACCGGCGGCAACGACAACCTCCTCTGCGTGTGGGACGCCAGCGCCTCGTGGTCCTCCGCCGGCGACGCTGACAAGCCGAGGCACGTCATGGAGCAGCACACGGCCGCCGTCAAGGCCCTCGCCTGGTGCCCGTGGCAGGCCAACCTGCTCGCCTCCGGCGGGGGTACCGCCGATCGCTGCATCCGCTTCTGGAACACGGCCACCGGCGGCTGCTCCAACGCCATCGACACCAAGTCCCAGGTGTGCGCCCTCCAGTGGAGCAAGCACTCGCGCGAGCTCGTCTCCTCCCACGGCTTCTCCCAGAACCAGCTCATCGTCTGGAACTACCCCTCCGTACTCCTCTCTCTCTCTCTCTCCTCCCCTCTCTCTCTCCCTCTCTCTCTCGCCCCACCTACACGACACACACGACACACACCGGTGCTGAAGGATGCTGACAGCTGCCCGCCCGCCCGCCGCCACATTCGTGACATCCAACCACCAAACAGATGAGCAAGGTGGGCGAGCTCACGGGCCACACATCGCGTGTGCTGCATCTCGCTCTCAGCCCGGATGGGACCACGGCCGTGTCCGCCGCTGGCGACGAGACTCTCCGCTTCTGGCGCCTCTTTGAGCCCAAGGCCCCGACTGCCGATCGCGCCTCGTCGCCTTGCTCTGTCCTCCGTCGCCTGGACATCCGGTAACTCCCCTCTCCGTGCCGTGTTGCTCACCCCCCCCCTCCCTCTTCGTTATCTCTACGCGAGCGCAGGTACAGAAGCGGCACCGAAGAAGAGCTGCCCGTCCCCCCCCCCCCAAATGGCTGCGTGGCGTTGACGGCACGAGCGCACGCCTCCGCCGGCAAAAGAGGAGGTCGGGTTTCTCATCTCTTTCACCTCCCTGTCTTGCGTGCAAGTCCAATTGAAATCGCCCGCGGGGGCCTCCGCACCTGACCCTGACCAACTCCCAACACACCCAGCTTTGCAGCTTCTGATCAGGCCGTTCGACCAAGCGACTGTCGAGCCATTAGACCCGACCGCCTGCGAGGCAAGTTTTAGTTAGGCGCGCTGCTGGCGGTGTGCTGCGTGGTGTGTCTGACACGAACAACTCCGCAATCCATGGTTTGTGTTACCCAGGGCAGCCTGAGCCCGCGCTCTGTACAGTCTCTCCTCTTACATCCTCGTTAGTGGTGGGTACAGAACTTACTCATGCGCGCAGGCATGCCGCCAGGCGGGCTCCCACGCCCACTCAGTCGTAAGAGCAGGGCCTCCGCCACACCCGCCGACGCAGAGCCGAGAGCCCCTTCGTCCTCGCCGTCGCACACGCCATTGGCCAAGAGGTCGAGCACGCCTACGCCCGATCGCAGGCGAATGAATGTACATGGCCAGGGTGGTGGGGGTGAACAACAGGGAAGTCTGCCAAGTGTCAAGTGCTGTTTATGGTTGGGGGGGGGCAGCCAATCAAGTGGGAATGGGGAGGGGGCGATCAAGGTGGGTGGTCCACGTCACGTGGCCACTTACTTGGCGCCGGGACGGGCGCCGGGGAGGCGCGTGACCTTGCCGATGGCGATGGTCTTGCCCTCGTCGCGGAGCGTGAAGCGGCCGAGCTGCGGGAAGTCCTTGTAGGTGTCGAGGCACACCGGCTGGGTGAGCTGAATGCGGGCCGAGACAAAGGCGCCCTTCTTCACAAACTTAGGCTTCTGCTTGGAGACTTCGCCGGTCTTCTTGTCGATCGTGCCGAGGATGAGCTTGATCGTGCACTCCTCGACGGCCGTGTGGGCATGGAAGACGGCGGTGTAGCCGGGGGAGATGATGGGCTTGTGCTCCAGCAGATCGATCACCGCAAGCTGCGCCTCGAACTGGGGCACGGCCACGATCGGGTGCTCAGCGTCACAAACGACGAAGCCCGCCCGAATCTGGTCGTCCGACACGCCGCTGACTACGATGCGCACGTATTCGCCAGCCGCCGCACCGTCGAGGTCGGGCGCAAAGTCCGAGGCAACGGACAGCACCACGCCGGCCTGCTTGGTGGGCATGACCACCACCTTCTGGCCCACGCGCACTGTTCCCGACTCGACCTTGCCCTCGATGAACACCTTGCCGGCGTCCTTGATACGGTCCAAGATCGGAATGCGCAGAGCCGCGGCCGGATCGCGCTTGGGTGGCCGCAGCCCGTCGAGCACCTGCACCAGCGACGGACCCTGGTACCAGTCGCACACGCTCGCGTCCAGCGGCTGCAGCAAGTTGGCGCCCGTGATGCCCGAGATCGGCAGCATCGACACGTCTGGAAAAAACGCCGCCGCCGCCACCACACCGCCGATATAAGAATAATAATATTGAAGTAGAAATAGATATAGAAATAGAACAACGTTGGGTGGGTGGAGCGAGAGCGGAATAGAATTGAAACGTACCCTTGGGTCCGAAGCCTACCTGCTTCAGGAAGGGTTGGAGCTTCTGCAGGATGCTGTCGTATCTTTCCTTCGACCACATCACGCTCTTGTCGTCCATCTTGTTGATGACCACAACCAAGCGACTCACCCCGAGGGTCTTGGCCAACATCGTGTGCTCCCGCGTCTGACCGCCCTTGTCGAACCCTGCCTCGAACTCGTTGATGCGCGCCGAGATCACCAGAATGCCCACGTCCGCGCACGCTGCTCCGCCGATCATGTTGGGCACTGTGTGTGGTGTAGGAAAAATAAATACATAAATAAAAATTGGCCATCAGCAAGGGAAGCACACAACACAACACGACTTGATATCTCTGCATAAGGCGAGCCAGAACCGAAGAAGACGAAGACGAAGAGCGAGCAGCCCTAATGCGGGGCCAGTGGGCCAGCACACATACCGTAGTTCTTGTGACCCGGGGCGTCCAGAATTGTGAAGCGACGAGTTTCGGTGGTAAAGTGCGCTCGGCCCACCTCGACGGTTTTGCCCTACACACACACACACACACGACACGACACACGACACACACCACAGGCGCGACAACAGGGTATAAGCATGGTGCATGGCACTAGGCGCGCGCGGCCACACCCCGGAATGGGCTCAGCCAAAGCGCCTTCTCGGGAGAGGAGGGGTGGAGGGCAGGTGCACCTTGGCGCGCTCGTCTTCGTTGGTGTCCATGATGAAGGCCAGGTACCAGCTCCCGCCAGCTTTTTCCTTGGCCTCCTTCTCATACTTCTCGATCGTCCTTTGGTCCACTTGCCCCGTGAGGAACCTGCCCTCCGGGACACACGCATGACAAGACACAACATGCACACACAATAACATAACATAACATTGAAAGCGAGGCGCCCGTGAGCACTGGGTACCTCACCATACAAAGCCACGTGGCCCGTCTACGTTGAGTGGGTGGCGTACAAGAGGTTGCCGGCCGTGGTGGATTTACCCGCATCTGTGTACATACATTAATTGCGCCGGGTTAGGATCCATGTTAAGGAGAGCGGTAGGGACCGTGGTGTTTCAGGGAGAAGATGGTGTGTGCGGTGGGGGGAGGGCGTACCGACATGCCCAATGAGTACAATGCTGAGGTGGTCGCGAGGATCGATTACCTTTCTGGGGGCATCGGACGTGGTTTCGGGGACAGCAGAGGCCTCTTCGCCCTCCTCCTCCCCATGTGCGGGCTCCTCGGGCTCTGCTGCGACGGGTGTCGTCACCGTAGCGGCCGCAGCAGGCTCTGGGGTCGCCGTGGTAGTAGTGGTGCTCGAGGAGACCGGGGCTGCCTCCTCTTCGGTGGCCTTGGGTTCTTCGGGCGCCGCAGTCGCAGGAGCAGCAGCCTTGGGCTTGAAGACGGGAGCATTCACATTGAATGAGGGCTTGAAGGCGGGCGCATTAACGTTGAATTTCAACTTGGAGGCAGGGGCAGGGGCCGCCGCCAACTGGGCGGTTTCCGAGGGGCTGTTGGCGGAAGCGCTGTGTTCGTCCATGTGCTGTTGTGGCGCGAGGAGCAGGTTTCGTTTTCAAACAAAAAATAAATAAAATAAATAAACAATAAACCTTGTTTGGGGGGGGGCGGCAAAGAAAGAAAATGTTACGAACGTGTTCTGCGTTGTACGGTGAGAGGGGGGGGGGCATCAGCGAGCGATGAGAGGAGAGAAAGCGGAAAGGAGCGCAAGGGGGTGGGTGGGTTGGCGTGTGTCTTTGCTTTTTTTACGCCACGGGCATCTGCTGGTGCTGGTCGGCCAGCGCTGGGAGGAGGTCGGGCCGGGGTTGGGCGGTGGCGGTGGCGGTGTGCGGGAGGAGGAAGGCCTTGAGTATGTCGGAGAGGGAGACAATGCCGAGGACTCGACCCTGGGAATCGGTGGCGATGAGGCGGTGGACCTTGGTCTTGTTGAAGCGCTGCAGCACCAGCTGGAGGGGGTCCTTCGGGTGGCACGAGTGGATGACTCTCTGCGTGCTGCGCCGAAGGAGGATGTCGCTGACGGGCCGGTCCAGGTCGGAGAAGGTTCGTCTCCGCGCAATGTCGACGATGTCCGAGTTAGCGTAGACGCCCAGTGCCACGCCCCGCTCGTCGACCACGGGCACCGCGCTAATGTTGTGGCGGGCCAACAGATCCAGGACACCGATGACGGGCGTCTCGGCGCCCACGGTGACCACTCCGGCAAAGGTGCCGATGCCCAGCTCCTCGATCGACATGGCAAGCAGGCCCACGGCGCCGGCCAGGTTCTTGACGAGGAAATTGTTGATCTTGCGGTGCGTGATGATGTGCAATATCGTGCGATCCACCGGGTCCATGATCGGGAGTCGATGGATGCGGTGCTGCAGCAGAGCCAACGCCGCACCGTGCAGGCTTTCCTCCGGTCGTACGGTAATCAAGGCATCGCTCATCGAGCCTCCCATGATTCCTGGATGGAGAAGGAAGAAGCACGCGCACAGCCGTTCAGGGAGGGCAAACATGTCAGCTGAGCTCACAGCAAGCAATGAATGAATGAAAGAGAGAGAGAGAGAGAGAGAGGGAACAAGGGAAGGGCGGAAAAAGAAAGAGAATGCATGATGGTCGGTGTGGTGAGGGTGCGTGCGTACGGCGCCAGGTACGTATCTCGTGCTCTTCGAGGAGAGGCGCGAGGTCAGCGCCAGGAGAGGCAGCATGGAAATGGCGAAGAATGTTCCTGAAGTCTGACACGGTGATCATGCCCACGTAGTCGCCGGCCTCCGAATCCCACAGAGGAGCCGATTTGACATCTACTCTCCGCGTAAGTGACCAAGTGGACGTGACGGATCGTATAAACAAGAGGATTGTGCGTGCGAGGGATGACACGGGCGTGAGGAAAAGCACCGTTGTCTATCAAGGCGACGAACGCGGCCTTCACTGGCAGGGCGGTATCCAGGACTACGATCTTACCACTAACTGGGAGTGGTTCATGCAGAGGGAGCGAGCAACGACGTTGGGCAAAGAGAAAGAGACACAGGCATTAATGCGGGTATTGCTGGGGTGCGCTGGAGAGAGGGGGCACGTGCCTGGCATTATGTCGTAGCACTTGTGGGTCAGCAGAAACTGCGAGATGGTGTCGCGGTCGTGCTGCATCTGCTCTGGCGAGACCGCGCAAGACCCCCCCTTTGCGCCCATTGAAGAAGAAGAAGGAGGTTGTTGCACACAAGGGTCATCGACGCTGGTAGAGCCATCTGATTTGTCATCATCTTCCGCATCATCTTCCCCGAAATACCACATATGCGTGGAAGGTGTGTGTGTGTGTGTGGGCAACGTGGCAGGAAGGCGGTAAGGATATGAGCAGGAAGCCAGCTGGCCTGTTGTTTTTTGTATTTTTTGTTTTTTTTGTATTTTTTGTCCGGTTTTCCCCCTCGGAACTGCCCAACAGTTTTTTCTTTTCTTTCAGAATGCTTGGCCCTACACACATCCACATTTCCTCCCAGCCTCGCCCTGACGCGGTGGCCTTCCCGAGCGCGTTGCACTACGCGCCTGTCGTGGGGTAGAAGATGCCATTCATCCCTTTTTCCTGTGGCGCTTGCAATCATCCTGACCTGCTACCACTTCCCTTCTTCATGTGATGGTCTGCACGTGACCAGCGGGGGAGCACAGGCTGGGTACAGCGCCTACGGGTCCCTCCCTACACCACCACGTAGCTTCTCGGAAATCGACACCCTTTCGTACGCTTTCCGTACTTTCGTGCCCCCCTCACCAACAGATTGCCTAGGCCTAATTCGAGTCTCGATGTGGCAGGGTAGGTGAAGTCGACCGTATTCTTGCTGACGAGGACGCACTAGACCACTTCTTCGAGTCCCTTCAGGCGGTCAAAGCTCTCAGAGCGCACCGAAATCAGCTCCGCGATCACAACGAACAACTCGCCCGTGCGCCCTCCGCCCTGCCCCGGCTGTGTGGCCGGTTAGTCATTAATTATTAACCTACGTTTTGAAAACACACAACTAGACGACAACCTGAGCAGGGAGAAGGAGCTGCGGGAGCTTCTTGTAGACGTTGCCCTGGTGCAGGACAAGCTGGCCAACAAGCGACACACCCTCGAGTCTCTCCTACGGAGGCAGGAGGAGATTGCACACAGCTATGGCAGCGGTCTCCCAGCCAAACTGAAGGAAGCTGCCGCCCAAGCTGAGGTGGCCCACCTGCACTCCCACATGAGAGTTTCTCTCTTCTCTCACCATGTGCTTTTCTTTTTGTAACACAGGCTGAATCAGAGATGATCTCCCAGGACTTTGTAGAGGGACGCTCCACAGCACAGGAATTTGTCAAGTCCTTTCTGGCCAAGCGACAACACTACCACCTCCGTAGCAACAAGCATGAAGCCCTCCTTCACTCACTGCCCTCTCATCACTGATGACCTCTTCCCCAACACCATGTACATACAGCTTACTCTCCATGATTTCTCCAGGTCTTCCTTCCAACACAGGCTCAGTGTTTGTTGCCTTGTGCTTGTCTATTGCCTGTGCTTGACCCAGACACTGGGTGGGCCTCCCTGGGAGTGTGTAAAAACAAAATTGGTGACCACTTTAGTACAACTTGGTGGCCACTTGGAGGACAACTTTGGGCCACTACAGGACATTTTCAGGGCATTCTTAGTACATCTTTGGGGCCATTTTCAACACATTTGTAGGAGCATTGGGGCCATTTTCAGGACATTGTCAAGACATATTTAGGGGCCAAAAAAGGTAGTTGTTCAGAACAGAATTATCTGCCCTTCAGGACTTCCTCTCAGGACCATTTTTGCCAGCCTTTCAGGACTCTTGCACACCACGATAGGTCTGCAGCACTGTGAAGGGGCGGAGTTTGGCCTTAGAATTTGTTGCAACCAGAACCACACCACACACCACCAGAGAGCGGGCTTCAAGATGTGATAGGATCCAGCCATCTAGGTTGCCTCATTGGGCCGCAAGGAGCATCCCCTCAAGATCAACACACCAGCAGATGAGCGCAAAACTCGTAGAATGTGAGGGATGCAACAACAACGCGTAAAATTCGTGGAACTACTAAAACTCCAAAAACTCGTACCACGAAGTTGCCCACGAGCCCACATGGAAGCCAATGATAGAGTCAAGAAAGCTCACTTGCTTTGAGAGCTCCACGGACGGCAAAAATACCTGTCGCTATGCCAGGCAATGTCCTTCATGGGTAAGGACTGTGTGACAAGCTGTTGCTGTGTGGCCATGAGTAGTAAACCGAAGTAAACTGTTTCGAGTTCAACTCGTTTTAGTTGCCTCCCCTGAGCAACAGATGGTTAATGCCTGATTTCAGTAGAGGACTGTGAAGATCTGCAATGGGAGGGCGTCCTGCCACAATGCCATCAGAGATCTGGTTAATGTAATGTGTGGAAGGAACGATGCGCGTGGCAGTGTCGTCTGCACGTCGTACACCCACTGGGCTCAGCATGCTCTAACTTGAAGTTTGGGAAAGAAGAGTCTATTAAAGAGAGCTTTAGGGCTGGCGAAGGTGCCTGTCTCGATGGGAGCCAGTACTGTGTGACAATCCGCTGTGTTCTCATCATCGCCACTCGAGTTTTACAACTAAAACGAGTGTTCTCCAGCACTTCCTCCAGTATCTTCACCAGGCGATACAGATGTCGCGGACCACCGCGGATCGATGTCCGCGACTCATCCCCCGGGGTGATAGTGCTGATGTGGTGGCGGTCGCTGTGCCAGAGGCAACACGCCTTTGTGGGTGAGATGCAACAAGCTGTTGTTTGTCATTGGTGCACTACTTTCGCCACGTGTCGCGCCTACGCACGCACGCACCGCGCCTTTCCCCCAAGAGCGGGGGATTCAACGAAAACTAGTTTTACTAGTTTTACTAATTACAAGGACGACCAAACGCGCGAGATCCACACTGGCTTGTCACACCATACTGACACTGCTTTCCCAGAGGCGCATCGCCTGGCAAAGCGATTGGCACCACTCCTACCCTGGGAGTTCTGAAGGGTGGTGAGTTTTCCTCCATCCATCAACGAATTGTGTTCGTTCTTTGAGTGAGCCACTAGTGTTACTCGCGTTACTCGTGATTCAATACTTCAGTTTTACTCGTTTCGGTTGCATACCCTGTTGCGATTATGGGCAATGACGTCAGCGTTAGCGCCATAGCAACCAAATCTCCTTGTGAGACAATGGAATTCATTTTTTTATTCTTTTATCATTTCTGCTTTCTTCTCCTCTCTCTTCAATAAACATCTCTTGCCGTCAAGTCTACTGTTCTCTGTTGACATACCCGCAGGCGATGGTCGGTCCGCTGACGATTCTCTGGTCGTGACATCGCTTGCGAGGTCTGAGCTCACAAGGCAAGCAAGAAAACCAGTGCACTCTTGGTCGTGATGTTGGCGGCATGACGATTTTATCGAGGTGCTGGCTGTCAAACAGAGTAGAGTAGACTTGATGGCAAGAGATGTTTATTGAATAGAGAGGAGAAGAAAGAATGAAGATTGCTATGGCGCTAACGCTGACGTCATTGCCCATAATCGCAACACTGGCGGCCTCCGACAGGGCTGAATCCTGTCACATTTTGAAGCTCATAACTTGCTGTGCATTTGCGCCAAACGCGAGGTCATTAGCTTACAAGGCAAGCGAGAAAACGAGTGCTCTTGGTTGGGAGTTGAAACAATGGCAAATTCACTCCCAAACGGCGAAGTCCTACCGCCCCAATGAGGCATCCTACAGGACTGAATCCTATCACATCTTGAAGCCCGTAACTTGTAGCGTATTTTGAACGAAACGGAAGCTCCAGAGCTTATGGAGCAAGCGAGAAAACGAGTCATCTTTGTCATGTGGGGCTGACCGCAAAAATTCTAAGTCAAAACTCCGCCAGCGTTCAGCGAACCGCCACCTCAGCTGTCCACAATTTATTATTGAAATTATTGAAAATTTTAATTTATTTTTTGCAGTGAAAAACAATCAATCAGGAAGGCGTTACGCCACTTGCCGCTGCGATGGTGATGGCGGAGGAGGTGGCCGGGGAGGAGTCAGAAGGGGAGGCGGTGGGGAGAGGGGAGGATGCGGCGGGAGGATGCAGGTAGGCGCGGTCGGGCGTGGGATACACGACTTCAGCGAGGAGGGCAGGGGGGTCGGGGTCCAGCGAGAATCGGTGGGCGAGGTCGTTGAGGTAACGGCGGCGGGTGGGGTAGGGGGGTTCGTAGCCCTGCGTGCTGTAGCGCACGTAGCGGTTGGCGTTCATGGCCGTCTGGCGGACGAGCTGGCCCACCAGCTCCTTGCGCACCACCATCCCATCGATGAGAGGCCCAAAGAGGCCCACCCCAGGCTTGCGGAACACCTGCACGCGGAACAGGCCATCCGGCAGCGGATAGACCACCACGTGTGCATCATTGAACTGCGACGTGATCGTCACCGGATGGTAGTCGCGCGCATGTTCGCTGTATACGATGTGCACGATGTCGTTGCCCACGTGCCGCTTCTGCTCTTGGCAACGCACGCACGCACGCACGCACGCACGCCCAACCCAAACACACAACAGTTGCACCATCTCTAATTAGAGGCCCGCGAGGTAAGGGTTTTGTAGGGGTGGGGTGGGGTGGGGTGGGGGTTGCCTTCAAGATCTGCTGCTCGTCGGTGTCCTCGGTGGGCATGGAGGTAATGTCGTGGAAGATGACCTCGAGCGCGTGGTTGGCATAGTAGGGCGTGTATTCACCTTGTTGTTGGGGAGGAACACCACCAGCCACCAGCCACCACCACACACCACACCCATCCGAGAGAAGAAGGGTAGATTAACCACCAGCAGTCAAATAAATATAAATATGAATAAGAAGAAGAAGGCGGGGCGCACCTGTGGTTCGGTTGAGGCGATCGAGCCCGCCAGTGTAGCCCAGGTGGTTGGCCACGGGGACGGTCCACCCGAGGGCGTGGATGAATTCGGAGAACAGGGGCGAACGAGACGCCTTGTCGTTGCGGAGAATCGTGTTCTGGTCCTCCTGCCCCCGCTTGACGTAGATGACCCCGATCTTCTGCAGCTCCCGCCTGTGATGCACCACACGCAGGCACACACACACACACGGCACATACGGCGCATGAGACACACGACACATGACATACACGAGGCAAGAGAGGAGGGAGAAGGAAGGGACCCCGCCAACACATAGATCAGTTCACTCCGGCACGCGTGACGGCAAGAAGAGCCGCGGACTGCGAAAACGGCTCCCATGCGCATGGGAGCAGCGCGGACCCTCAAAGAAGGGCAGGGCAGGGCAGGGCAGGGCAGGGAGGACGCACTCGGCCGACTTGTCCAGTTGCGAAACGCTGCGGCGGAACTTGTCGGTGTTTTCCAGCAGAGTGAAACGTGCTCCGTCGACGTCCTCATCAACGACACCTGCAAGAAGGCAGCCACGCACGCACACATCGGACACATTCCTTCAGATCATCCAATCCACCGTCCCACCGGTGTGCCGCCGCCGCCGCTGCCGGGGTGAGGCTACACACGACGCACACACGACACATTGTACACTGCACACTGCACACCGCACACGACCATCGGCCGCCGCTGGTCGCTGCGGGAATGGCCATGATGGTGGTGGTGGCTGGTGGTACAACGGTGGGGTGGGGTGGGGTGGGGGCATGCCTGTGGGGAGGAGGTAGCCCAGGTGGCTGAGGAGGAGACGCGCGGATTGGAAGGACCCGGGGCCGACGGCGGCGGCGTGCTTGGGCCGGGAAGGCACAGAGGCAGCGGAGAGGGATGGCCGATCGGCGGGCGTGTGGATAGCTTCGCTGCTGATCTGGGCCTCGAGCTGGGCGGCCATGTCGTCGTAGATGCTCCCCAGCCCTTCCCTCGGCCCCGCCGGCTCGGACAGGGCCTTGCCGTCCTCTCGCTCACACTCGGCAAAGCTCTCCGACAGGCTGCCACCGTCCACCGTCCACCGCCCACCATCAGCATCATGAGCGATCAGCCAACGATCCACGGTCACGGCCTTAAGGTTTGGCGTGGTGGCACCCTGGTGGCCATCCACCAGCAGCAGCCACCACCAGCAGCGGCCAAAGCTTGCGCCAGGAAGGGGAAGGGGTCGTACTATTGGAGGAGACCGTGGAGCTTGTCGGCGGCGGCGGCGGTACCCTCCGGAGCTGCTGCGGGAGATACGGGGGCGGGGGTGGCGGCCCCAGTACTCTCTTGCGTTGCCCTGGGACCGTCGGTGGGAGGGGCGAGCGAGGGGCGGCGGAAGGCGGCGGTGGCGGCGGCAGGAGCATAGGCAGGCACGGCGTCCCAGGCGTACTTGCCCGTGGCATCCCGCACCATCACCCGCGCTACCCTCGCCGCACCCCAACTCTTCTCGCCTTCGCCTTCGCCTTCGCCCTCGCGCGGCTGTGTGTCGGTGGCGGGCCGCAAGAGGTGCGTGGCGGAGGGGGGCGGCTGCACGAGGGAGACGAGGGAGGACTGGTTGTAGAGGAAGAACAGCTGCTTGGCCAGGTCGGGGGCGGCGGCGCCCGGCGGCTGGTCGTCAGTCTCGGAGAGCTGCGACGTGAGGACGGCAATGCCGGAGCGAGGCGGAAAGTTGCCGGCGTGGTTGACCAGCTTGTACAGGGCAGCCTCCGTCGCATCTCGGATGGGCGCACTCCCGTGCGCGCCCGCCACGCCGGCCTCGAGGAGAGCGTGGATGTGCTGCATGAGGCCTGCGTCGCTCACCAGCACCTGCAGCACGTGGGCGCCCGCCGCCGCCATCACCCAATCCACCACGCATTCCACCTCCCGCACAACGCTCCCCTCTGCCCACCACCACCAGCCACCACCAGCCACCACCATCGTCGCCATTATGGCCACCACCGCCGCCATCCATCCATCCATCCATCCAATTAGGTGAGCGGCAGCGTCGTCGAGAAAACAATATTCATGAATCGAAAATGAAAGCAGTCGGGAATTCACGCACCGGCGGAAGGCTTGGCGCGGCCCTGCCCGATGGCAGCGATCTGGTCGAGGGCGTGCGAGGCCAGGCTTGTCACCACCAGAGACGTTACCGACTGCAACTCACCAAAGCAACCACCGCGGGCATGCACACACACCGCCGTGCACACACGACACACACCACACGACACACGCACGCACGCACACGCACACACACGCACACACGACACACAATTAGATGACGGGGAAGCGGCCGTGGCGGGAGGAGAGTACGACGGCACCACTACCTGGCCGAGGGCGGCGAGGCGATCCAGCACCAGGGAGAGGGACGACAGGGCATCCACCACCGCCTGCACTCCGCCCCACCCAACGTCAGTATTGGAAAACAGCAACACAGCCATTATGTAATGGCCAGCCATTATCGAACTGGGCCACGCGCGGGAGCAGCAGCAGTGGGCAACCTGGAGGACAGGGTAGCTCGAGTCGGGGGAGGCAAGGGCGTGGAGGAGGTCCTCGAGCCACTGGAGGACTGCTGCCTGCCTGTGGCGTGGCGTGGCGTGGTTGGTCACACGTGGCCCAGCAGCCCCATTTTGGGGGATGAATGAAGCAGCAGCAGCAGCAGCAGCAGCACGTGCTCCCCACCCACACGACATGGCGATGCGCCATATGTGAAGGTGTGGCGATGCGCCGTGCGGGGGCGGTGGTGGTGTACACCAGGCTCCCGAGGTGAAGGGGAGGAGGGGGGGAGGAGGTCCGTACTCAGGCTGGGGTCGATGCAGCTCATCGAACAGCAGAACACAGAGGCCCCACACGCACATTGCCTGCACGCACACGTGACCCCCCCCCAACCCCAAGCGGAATGGCGGTGAGGAGGGCTGCGCGCGCGCTCTCTCTCTCTCTCTCTCTCTGGTGGCATAATACTAATAATAAATAAGAACAAATAAGAACAAATAATAAATAATTATTCGTCCTTGGGCTGCCTCCGGTCTCCCTCCGCCTTGGGCTCCTTTTCCCTCTTCTGCAAATTATTATTATTATTATACTCATAATGAGGGGCAGCGCAGCACCTTGAGCTCGTCACTTTTCTCGCGGGCGAGAGCCCTACGCAGGATGTCCGCCACCTCCGATCGAGCCTGCTGAGACCGCCGGCAAAGTGAGAGGCGCACAGCCTCGTGCCGTATGGTGTATTGTGTGTGTCGTGTATGTGTCGTGTGTCGTGTGTCGTGCAGCAGCAGCGCACCTGGGCCACCATGTAGGGAGCGGAGTTGCGGGTGACGATGTCGAGGCCGTCCAGATGGCTGCCCACGGAGACGAGGGAGCACACCAGGGAGAGCGCTCTCTGCGCGGAGGGACAGGGAAAGAAAAAGGAAGAAAAGGAAGAAAAGGAAAAGGCACCCGTCAGCAAGCGTGCGAAAGCGGACTCCTCGCGGAGGGACGAGGCTCTCAAGAGGGCCCGCCCGCCCCAGTCCTATCTGCCCAAGGACGGTCCAACCTACCTGCTTGATGTCCTCGTCAGGAGGCGGGGTGCACGCGGAAGC